ACAGAAGCTAATGAATAAAGTATCTGCCATGTCACCTTAAACTAAGTAATTCTCACCTTCAAATATAAGATATTCTCTTATATTTTAGTAATTATGCTAGAAATTAATGACCACAATGAGTAAAGCATTATAAAGAATCTTCACATTTTTAAGTTATTAAAATCAATAATTTTTCAAAAATGGAAAGACAAGTTATAATGATACAAGATATTTATAAAAATCTTTATTTTATTTTATTTTCATAGAAAATTTGAGGAACTTTATTAATTTCAAAGTAATTCAGCTTGTAAATGTGAACCCATTTTCATGACATTACATGCATTTTTATCTTACTCTTGATAAAATGCTAATTGCAATTAAGTGTTTAGTTAGTCACTATAATTTATACTCATTTTAAAATATCAGAATTATTTGAAAGACACAACTACTTTTCTTACACATTTTAGTATGGGATATTACTTTAAAATTTTTTTAGGCTTTCTCAGAATTGATGATGAGGCTAATATCTAAAAATCACAGTACAGAGATGCTAAAAAATGAAAAACAGCATTAGTCACTTTGCGTTACACTTTCTGGTCTTCACTCACAGTCATATAAAAATTAAAATTAATATTATATTGCCAAAACATACAAGGTGATTGCAAATATGTATCATTTATTTAAATGTAATAATTAAGAACAAGTATAATTATACTGTATTCTTTGCGGAATACAGTAATTGAGTTTCTAAAACCTCAATGTCTTACCAAATTATGTAAAATATAAACTTAATTTTCTACAGGGACTCATTACATTAAGACAAATTATTTTTCATTTTCAAAATAAATATTCACTCTTGTTCTGATTTCTTTTGTTAAATTGGAAGCTTCTTAAAGCAAAAAGCACCCGTATTTATAAAACAAGAACATTCATTTTACCTCATGAGAAGTGGGTGCTCTCACTCAATTACTTTAAAAAAGGGAAAGAGGCTTAAATGTTAAAAAAACAAAAAACAAAAAAACTTTCTAGCTACCTATCGAAAACACCTCTATTTTAATGGTTTAAAGTATGTGAACATGCTTAAAACCTTGTTTCCTTTGAGTATTGATCATTGGGAACATCAGGATAACTGAAAAGTTGTCACTCTTTTTTAATTTTATTTTTTTATGTTAGTTCCAGGTGTACAAAGCAATATAATGATTAGACATTTACACCCCTCACAAAGTGATACCCCCCCCCGAGTCTATTACCCCTCTGACATCGTATAAACCTGTTACAATACCATTGACTATATTTCCTATGCTGTACTTTATATAATTGACACTCAGTATTATTCTATTTCAGCAGATTCTTTGTAGAAAAAAAATTTTTTAAAAAGCCTCAGGACTTTCAAAAATTAAATTTATGGATGCTTTAATGTTGTCTATATAAGATTGCTTCAAATACTGCTTAGAAGTTCATGCAGCATAGTACCAAACAAACTTAATATGGAATGAATACATATTAGAGATTAAAATATCTAAATTTATGGGATGTCAAGATACAACAATTTTGTACACCATTGAGCTAGTGCTCTGAATCTAGAACATATCTTCCAAATCACATCACCTAAGTAGACTTCATTTTAATATACAAGATACTCTCACAAATTCCAGTAGTTAAACTGGTAATTAATGACCAATAACTAAACATTATAGAAAGCCTGCACATATATTTTTGGATATTCACTGGGTGAATTAGTAGAATTGAAAATCTAGGGTCTCACACAGATGTATGGAACTATCTTTCACATGCTAAGTAATAAATATTTCCTCCTGTTCAGCCATGCGATATCTTGTAGCAGAAGTTCTATGAAATGTCCCTGCTGTAGAGTTTCATCTCTAGTTCTGAGTTTTAACTTCATCTTTTTTCAGTGCTATCATTTCCTGCACAAATGCCAAGTGACCTTGGGTTGAAGTGTGGCCTCAGAGGAGTTTACTAGCCCTGGGCTTGTCTCTCTGGGTTACAGTGACAACATTTGAGCAAATTTATTCAAACACATCCTTTCATTCAGCAAATATCGTGCACCTGCTGTGTGAACAGTACTAGTTCATATTAACATCCCACGCTAGTNCGTGTGGAGTTAAGTTGTCAAGTCCGTTTAGCCTTCTCTAATCTAGAATAGTTTTTGCCTTTGTTTTCTTTTGTGCCATGACATCCTTGCAGAGTACAGGCAAATATTTCCAAATCTGGATGTGTCTGATTGTTTCCTGATGATTAAATTCGGGCTAAACATTTTTGGCAAGAATTCTCTGTAGGTTATATCGCGTATGTCCTCATTCTATCGTATCAAGAGGCTTGTAATGTCAGTTTGTCCCAGCATTGGTGATACTGAGTTTGTTCACTTGGTTAAGGCGGTGTCACTCGATTTCTCCATTGTAAAGGTGCCACTTGCCCTTTGTAATTGACAAGTCATCAGTCACCTCTGTTTTGGAAAAGGTGGAACAGACTCATTTCTCTCCGCTCCTCCGCGTTAAATACAACTATAAACCTTGGAAATGATGCAGTATCATCATCAAAGTTAAGTAAAAGTAACTTAACGTTTACGCTGTGAAAAATGTGAAGTGGAAGGTGGAGGTTAGGGCCCCGACACCTAGAGGCACAGCATGATGGCAGCCACCTGATGATCCCCCTCCCAACAGCATAAGGCAAGTGAGGCTTGGATTTCCCAACCCCCAACTAGCAAGGGGGCCCAGGATAGGTTCATTGGTCCCCTTGCCTGAACAGGAGTCCTGCCAGCAATGCCAGGAGAGCCTAGTGGCAGTGGCCGGGGGGAATTGAGCCAGAAATTCACTGACAGGAAATGGTCAGAGGACACGCTGTCCTTTCCTGCCGGACTCCAGGCTCCCCGTCTGCACTGAAGACTCCAGGCAGTTCAGTGTCTCTTACTGGACAAAAGACGCCAGGAAGAGGGATCTCTCCACAGCGAAGCTTGACGTGGGAAACCTTTTGTCCTCATGGTCAGGTATTCCCTTCACCTACCTAAAGGCAGCAGATGCACCACCTCAACGTGCCGCCCTCCCCCCTCAGGCAACACCAGCAGGGGCCAGTGGGAGCCACAGCGACACCAATACCCCAAGCAGACTAAAAGAGCACTGCGAGAGCTCTGAAAATTAAACTGTCATTGGGACCTCAAGTTACAATGGTCCGTGCACTGCGGGGGGCTGCCTTTTAAAATAAAAGATTTAAATAGGACCCAGAGTCTCCTAAAATAATAGCCAAATTGTGCAGGCTACAATAAAAAAATCTCCAGTTATACCAAGAACCAGGTAAATCATACCTTAAATGAGAAAAGGCACTCAGCTGATGCCAACAGTGAGATGAATTAGATGATGAAATTTTCTGGCAAAGAATTTAAAGCAACCATCATAAAAATGCTCCCACAATCAATTATAACTTCTTTTGAAACAAATGAAAACATGCACTATAGCAGCAAATACCGTAAATAGATATAATAAAAGAGAATCAAATTGAAATTGTGTAACTGAAAAACTAAATAACAGAAATGAAAATTTGGTGAATGGACTCAGTAATAGAATGGAGATGACAGAGGATAGAATTATTGAATGTGAGGAGAGCGCCATAGAATTTATCCAAAATGAACAACAGAGGGAAAACAGACTAAAAATATGTATACACTCAATCAGAATTTCAGCAAGTTATTTTGTGGCTATAAACTAACTGACTCTAAAGTTTGCGTGGAGAGGCAAAAGACCCAGAATAGTGAACACATAGAGATGAACAAAATTGGAGAACTGATACTGCCTGACTCCAAGACTTACTATAAATCTACAGTAATCTAGACATTGCGTATTGGCAAAATAGACAATGGGACAGAATAGAGAGCCCAGAAATTGCCCATAAATACATAGTCCACTGATCTTTGACAGAGGAGCAAAGGCAATACAATGGAGCAAAGATAGTTTTTTAACAAATGGTGTGGGAACAACTGGACATCCACATATAAAAGCAAATAAACCTAGACACAGACCTTACATCCTTCACAATAATTAACTCTAAATGGATTGTAGACCTAAATGTAAAATGCAAAACTATAAAACACCTAGAAGATAACAAGCGAAAAACCTGTATGACCTTGAGTATCGCAGTGACTTTGCAGATACAACACCAAAGTCATGATCCATGAGAGAAATAAATGATAAGCTGGGCTTTATGAAAATGAAAAACTTATCTGCTCTATACCCATTTGGAAAATAGTTAACAAGGTACCAAAGGATGTCAACGAAAGAAGACAGAGTCTGTATTTTCATTATCCTTGAGGAAAGTTTTGCTAATATGTCCATAAATTTGCAGAGCAAAATAATTGAATGGAATGAGTCTAGATTTTCTTTACTTACCACAGCTAATGCATCATGTCTCCACCACTGAAAGTTAACACGTAAATATTTCTTCAGCTTAAAGGTGGAACTCAAGACTAAGGGATTAAAACAACAGCAACAGCAACATAAGAAACTGCTGGCAGCCATGCTCTCTCAGGATTCTTTCGAGTCCATTCACAGCCCGACCCCATCTGTAACAGAAGAAGATATTGATAATGAAGATGATGCAATGGAATTGCTGGGTAATTTTAAACATTAATAATTTCTCTTTTTCTTCTTCTCTGGCATTGTAAAAATGTGCAGTGGTTAAGAGATTTGAAAAGTTCCGAATAGTTTTGTCTTAGGGGAAAGAGTTTAACACATACTTTATTTACCTTAGGCTTTTATGAAGTGGCATGTAAGAACTAAGTTTAAATCATCTAAGCATGCAGTGTTAGACTGTATTTTGTGCTTTGTATATGCAGCCTTTTACCTTCTGACTATTGAATCAAGCTTTATTCTGTGTGCAATTGTGATAAAGATTCGCCTGTTTACTTTTTTCTCTGATTATAATTGCCTTGATTGCATCTTTTGTCTATAAAATGTGTGCAAAGTACATATTTCAGTCCTCCTTCTAAGATGTCCCCCTGTTATTTCAAGGATGTTTTAGAACAATAGAGTAAAATTTAAAGTGCAGAGAGTAAATTAATGTTTTGTGTCTTCCATTAATGACAGGAAAGATTGCAGAGACTGCAATGTTTTTACAGGTTCATTACTTTTCATAAAAACCTTGGTAATATTGTAGATGCAGGAAATCCTTTTATATCTGCTGATGAAGTAAATGTGCATTTCTGTTTTATCAGATCTTTTCATAGTAATTTTTAAAAATTCAACTTCCCTTTGGAAAAGCATTTTCCCAAAAGAAGAAATGAAATTTTATTTCAGAGAAAGTGACACATATAAAGAATGTGTTTGAATTCAGTAGTATCATTTGTTCTATTCTACATAGCTAGAACAATTTTCAGTACTTTGTAAAATAGACTAGTAAGAGAATAAATAATATATTCATTTGAAAGTTTCAGTTAAGTTCAACATATAGAATAGGGAGTCCCAGAAATATACATCTATTTTAAATTTTTTTTTCTGAAACAGATTTCTTAGTTTCAAGCATTTAGGGCAATAAAATGCTATCCTAATAAATGCTGTGGGTCTCCATACATAGGCCTGCAAAGGTATTATTTAGTCAGTGATGGCAGCTTCACAGCTGTCTCCTGATGTAATATTACATCATTACAGCATTAAGGAGACTATTTCATAACATTTCTACTTCATTGATCATTTTAAAGAACAGTTAGGTCTGGGTGTTGTTTAAGGAATCTTATCTCCTGGCCTCTGAATCATTAGTGTGACAGATATGCAATGAGGTGGTGGTACCTTCTTCATTCAACTTCCATTCAGCAAATGTTTACTGAGCACCTACTTTGTGCCAGGCAGTAGATGCTATTTTTATGTCCCCAGGACCATGGGGACATAAAAATAAAATAATCATGGTCTCTGCAAGAGCTTTACCTTCTAGTGTTCAAGATAAAAATGTAAATACATCACGCTAGCAGTGTTTGCTACAGGGCTAGTGGGATGAGGCTCACAGTTGCATAGAGTGATAACGATCAGAGAATGTTCCCCAAGGAAACCAGTTCTTCTGGTGAGTCCAGGATAAGCAGATGTGCATTTAGCAGGTTTAGCAGGCAGAGTGTGGCCCGTCGCCTCTGCAGGTTTGCTCCCATAGGATTGAACTCTTTGGCAGTTGTGCTCCAAGACTGCCTGTGAATTGTTGCTCGGTTCCATCCGTAACAATGGATCGGTGCTGAGTTGTGCCAATATCGTCTTCTTTTTCCTTTCTTGTAAGTGGCAGCGTATGGTCAGCTGATGTCCACACGAAGGCAACTATACCCTGTCTTGCCAACAGAATTTTTTTGAGGAAACCCATGCATGCTCAGAATCACTTTGGGATTCCCGAGAGCCTCAGGACTATCAGGACAGAGGGGAGGAAATTATAGAACTTCAGTGATATCAAGGGAATCTTTAAGGAGACCCAGGTGTCTACACAGTGCTGGTTTCCCCGAGATCTCAGTTGCTCTCTTTTCAAGATTCTAGTTTCCCAAGCTGAAAACCAGAGGGCTGGCTTTTGGAGTCCATCTAATAAGAGCAACTAATAGCTGATTCTCATTATTATTATTATTATTATTATTATTATTATTATTATTATTTTAATTCAGACATTTAGCCTGTGGTCTGAGCATAATTAAGCATGAGAAGTAGTTTAAGGCTAGACTGTCTCCATGTAATTCTATGTATCTCAGCACTGATGTCTGTTGTGTGCCAACGCTGATCTCTAGGTCGTGAGGTCTCCCTGTCATAACATGGAATGTGCCAAGTCCACGGGGCCGCCCCTAAAATAAAGCTGTACACAGCTTTCCCTGTCACCTACTTGTCTCAGTGAACAAAGGTGATACAGCAGTAAACTCTACATAAAAGATTGTTTTGCCCAGTCAGTTCAATTAAATAAAATGTCATTTGGATATGAAATATGTTTGACTTTAAAGCCCAAATATGCCTACCCATTAATATCATTCAATTATTTTTAAAATGTATATTTAAAATATAGACTCGGAATTTTCTTTGGAAGTAAATAGTGTGGGTAAATCCATTACTTATGCATATGTCTTTCACTAAAGTGATGGCTTATCTTTTACATGAAATCAAACAGTACATGTATAATTTCAGTTAATATAAGGGTAAAGAATTTTTTCAGGCATGATATAGTAATAGATGAATATGTCAAGTATGGGCATAACCTACAATGATTATTAAGTTATTCACTTTTAAGACCTGACATCTTGTTAGCACCTCTGTTAATATTCCACTGGATTTCAGTGGACTCAATTGGTGCAATCCTCCTAAATCAATTTAGACACTATAAAAAATCTACCTTCATAGTCCTTTAAATGTTAAATTTCTATCATTTTGTTTATTATAGAATTTTAAATTTTGTTTATTATAGAACTTAATACTAAGTTCTTGAAAATTTACACAAAGTCAAATTTTAATACATAGATTCAGTGTAAAATGAAACAGACACATCTGGTATTTAAAATACCTTTTTTAATCTACTGCATTTTGTAGAATGAGTTTGCTACAGCTTATGTGTTTTAAGGGTTTAAATTATCATTGTGATCTACACCAAGACTTAACAGGCTGAAAATATTTCTTCTGCATGGGGAGAACTCTGTAAACGTTTTGAAGTGATAAATAAGTAAAAGGTATAATTATTAGTTTATATTAATATAACAAAGAATTATTCCTCAGTAAAATTGTTTGATTGGTGGGGGGAAAAAGCCTTTTAGTTGAAGTAGTAGAAATTAGTAAAACTGCTGATCCTTATTTTGTTTATTAAGAAATCTAGCATTGTTAATATATACTAATTAATATTTAATTCTTCACAGTTGTTTAATTATATACCTGTGAATTTCTTTTCTAGATATATTAGGTATGTGAAAATATTATAGGACAGCATCTATAATTTTTTAACTTGATTAAGTAGTTTCTGTAGGATTGCTTTACATAATACTTACAGATTCATAGTATAGACGTAGCTTAATATGGGATTAATATATATCATAGAATAAAATATCCAAATTTGTGGAATTTTAAGATATAACAATTTTAAGCACTTCTGAAATTGGTGGTGTAATTACAGAAGCTAATGAATAAAGTATCTGCCATGTCACCTTAAACTAAGTAATTCTCACCTTCAAATATAAGATATTCTCTTATATTTTAGTAATTATGCTAGAAATTAATGACCACAATGAGTAAAGCATTATAAAGAATCTTCACATTTTTAAGTTATTAAAATCAATAATTTTTCAAAAATGGAAAGACAAGTTATAATGATACAAGATATTTATAAAAATCTTTATTTTATTTTATTTTCATAGAAAATTTGAGGAACTTTATTAATTTCAAAGTAATTCAGCTTGTAAATGTGAACCCATTTTCATGACATTACATGCATTTTTATCTTACTCTTGATAAAATGCTAATTGCAATTAAGTTTTTAGTTAGTCACTATAATTTATACTCATTTTAAAATATCAGAATTATTTGAAAGACACAACTACTTTTCTTACACATTTTAGTATGGGATATTACTTTAAAATTTTTTTAGGCTTTCTCAGAATTGATGATGAGGCTAATATCTAAAAATCACAGTACAGAGATGCTAAAAAATGAAAAACAGCATTAGTCACTTTGCGTTACACTTTCTGGTCTTCACTCACAGTCATATAAAAATTAAAATTAATATTATATTGCCAAAACATACAAGGTGATTGCAAATATGTATCATTTATTTAAATGTAATAATTAAGAACAAGTATAATTATACTGTATTCTTTGC